GCAACCCGTAATACGGGTTAGTAGTAAATAAATCATTACCAACAATTTGATATTTATTTACTTTCTCTAATAAAATATAAATTTATTTATACAGAAAGCAACCTGTAATACGGGTTAGTAGTAAATAAATTATTACTAACAATTTGATCTTTATTTACTTTGTCTAATAAAATATAAATTTATTTATACATTTTTTTAGTTGAGCTCATTTTTATTTTTCTTGGCTTCTTAGTTTAAGAGAACTCTTAGCTTCATTAAAGATAAAGTTAACCATTTCTTTGACTTGAATTATATGCACAGAATATCGATGTCAAATTTTCAAATTCCGTAAAATTGTTTAGGTAAATATTGAAAATATATTCTACTCATAATTTTTCTTTAAGCTGAGTCGTTTCTTTTTTTTTTTAATTTTTTATTTTACTGAGTGAAGAGCTTAAAAATATGTCACTATCGCACCTAAACTTTGCAATGTTATTAATATACTTTTGAAATATTTTTAAAACATCTAAAATTATACACTTAAACTTGTAGGCATAGAAGTTGGATATCCGGAAAAACTATAAGTTGAAAAATATATCGCAATTCCGAAAAAGGCTTAGCCTTGCATACGGATCCTATATTATTATGATAAAGATTATTATTTTACCAACCTTTTTTTAAATTAGTAAATCAGCAGAAACTTGTTTATAAAAAACAATAAAGGAATATATGAATTTACTTTAATAGCTAACGTGTATCAACATATTTATTTCAGCATACATCCAATCCATATTTATACTAATTTTATAAAATGTCCTGAATACATTTTGCCTTAACTTGGCGTTAAATTATTAGTTTTATTTCATTAATTTTTGATCAGGTTAATAATAAAAGCAATTGGATTTTACTCAATACTTTTGAAGTAACTATTCAGCTTTAATAAAATTAATAAAATCATATAAGACAGTTAAAAAATATATTTAAACCTTTGTTCACTTTTTGAAAATCCGTAAAAAAGCAAATATCAAGTTTACATATCTTTAAAAGAAATTTATTTACATGATATATAGTTAAATATGTAACAAAAATATTTTAAAACAGAAGCATATATAAAACACATTTTTCTTAAAAAAACAAAGTTTAAGCCACCATTTACAGCACCGAGGAGCCAAGCGTAGCATATTGTAAAGAAAACCATATCGAATAATTTAAAATATTTATTACCGATAGGGGCGACAATTAAACATATTTAAAAAGCTACGTGATTCTATATTAGTAGGATTGTTATAGAAAAGTATATTAAAAAAGTATATTTAAAAAGTATATTAAAAAAAAAGTGTATTAAATAGAAAACAGATTTTTAAAAACTACCTAATTTTGTAAGCATTTTGCCAATGGTGTTCAATTTTGAAACCAATATCTTTAATGAAAAGCCGACTTGTTTAACTAATCTCATTCAAAGAATAAAATTATTAACACTTAAAGATAAAGAAAAAAAAAAACGAGATATAAACAATCGTACTATAGTATTATATAGATAAGTAGATATATATGAAAAAAAAACAACAACTGGAAAACAGTATACCTGCTTTTGGTAACCTATTGTGATACTGCAGCAGTTGCTGTAGGGATGCAGCTGTTCTTTTTGGTGTTGTTCAAAAACGTAATTTTTATGTTGGCTTTTAGTAAACTTTAGTTTAATTTAAAAGACATCACAACGGATTTAAAATACTCATAATAAAAAAAGCAAAACATTAAATGCTTCAAGGAGCCAAACTATAAAAATAAAAGATGTAAAATCAAATCGAGATAAATAAATTATTTATATAGCTAAATATATTGCCTTGGGTTTTGGTAAATTTTAAAAGCAGTGAGTTCAATAAATGCAACATACCAAATAATTGTTTTTAACAAAAGAATGCAGCATCATTATGATAATTATACTATGATAATGAATCAATTCAACTTTTTTTTATATAATATATATAGTATATTTGATAAATAAACCTCTACAATTTTTTTGGTTCAACAACTTGATTATGATTAATAACAACTCTGTAAATATAAATTTTCTAATGATCTAAATCTTTATAAATTAGATATTTTATTTTATATCTTAATTTTAAATTAAATATATATCTTAACTATAAATTAAATCTTTATAAATTAGATATAAATAGAAAAACAAACATATAATAACACAGTTATATCCTAAACCAAAATTCAATCATGCAAGGCAAATTATTAAACTTTTTGAAAAGAAAAAAAACATATTTTTTTTCAAAGAGCCAAAGTATTAACAATACTATAGATAAATTTTATTTATAACAAAATGTTGTCATGGCTTTTATCCCAATTATTAAAAGCATTTGAAAGCATGAAACTACCCATAAATATCTTTTAATGGTAGACAACATCTAAGAATTATAGTAATCTATATTTTCCAAATTCACATGTATAACACGAAGCTTTAAATTTAAAAGTACAATTTAAAAAAGATTACAATAAACTAATTACTTATAAAATTTTAAAAAGATTTTATAAATACTCAATGTCAACTTAGACGTTTTGAAAAGATTACGATTTTGAAAACTTGAGACATTAAATTTAAATTTTAAAAAACTGAAACTTTAATTCTACCTCAAAGAAAACAGATATATATTGAAAAGTATTTTTATTTCTTTTTAAAAATTTCAAAATGCTTTTAAACTTACTCCCTCCAATATAATTATATAATATATATATAGTATATATGATAAATAAACCTCCACAATTTCCTTGGTTTAACAACTCGATTATGATTAATAACAACTCTGTAAACATGAATTTTCTAATAACCTAAATAAATTACAGATAGACAAACATAAATAACACAATTAAATCCTAAACCAAAATTCATTCATGCAAGACAAATTATTTTATATTTATTGAAGAGCCAGAAACATATTTTTTTTCAAAGAGCAAAAGTATTAACAATATTAAAGATAAATTTTATTTATATCAAAATTTTCAATAAAAATTAAATTAAGATAAATTTATAACAAAATGTTGTCATGGCTTTTATCCCAATAACCAAAACTATGTGAAAGCATGAAACTACCCTTAAATATATTTTAACGCTAGACACAATCTAAGAATTAAAGTAATCTATAACACGAAGCTTTAAATTTAAAATTACAATTTAAAAAAGATTGCAATAAATTAATTACTTTTAAATTTAAAAAAAATTTTAGATCACCTATAATTTTAAGCTACTAAACATTATCTACTTAATGTCAACTTGAACATTTTGAACTTGTACCATGAAAGGTTGAAAGGAAATCTTTAAGAAAGCACGGGGTAAAGAAAAGTCTAGAAACTACTTAAAAAGTTTATTTTACAGATACAGAACCGTACCATAACTATAAAACAATACGCGTAACTATGCGCACTATTCATTAGAGTATTTATATTTAGATTAAATACTGGCATACATTTATATATTTTTAAACTCTAGTTTATTTCCAACTAGATAGCAAGCAACCACTATAAGTTATGAGTTTCTTTAAAGTACTTGGAAACATGTAACTGAAGACTTAAAAAGTTGTAGGTTGTATAAAAAAGGAAAACATGAAGATGAGTAAGAGTTATAAGGTTTTTTTGATGTTCAAGGAAAAAAACTGGATTAATAAAACTTTTTTAGCAGGACAGATACAGTAAAAGGATGCTACTTGTTGATTACAAAGCCAAACAAGAATGAGTTTTGGTTTATTGTTACAGAGATGATAGCTTGTTTGAGCATTAATCATGATTTTATTTGTAGAATAAAGAAAGAAATTTTTCCTTTCAACCTTTCAACAATAGAGAGTGGCTCAAGTTTGGCAGAAAAAGCAGGTCTAATTACATTTACAATGTGCTTTTAAATTTTGTCTGAGAGTAAATGGGTTGTTATTCATCATTCATCCAATATAGGAATGCTAATAATATTGCAATATTTTTTTGCAGTAAATTAATGAGTTTTGTTGTCTAACAAAATTTGTGGAAGTCTTGAATTTAAATCCATAAACCACTGGTAGCCTTAGGCTGCTACAGAAGAGAAATCAGGTTTAAAATTGGCTGCTTGTTTTAAGCAACCAAAAAGTAAAGGTTTATAAGTAATCTATTCACTAATTTGTAAATTTCATGCTTGATAATAGTGCTTGCTGGAGTTTATTCATTGGCAGAGTCTAAAACAGCCCTTGTTAACCAGTTCTTCATAGTAATGTATAGCATAGTATGGAAGTAGAATTTTCTGTATTAGCAAAATATCAAGTGTAAGTATAGTATAATATGGTTTAGTATTACCAAATCGCAGGTTTTTCAGACATAATGAAATATTTAAAACTTAAGACTTTTTTTTTAAAGAAAACAAATTTTTCTAAACTTTTTTTTTTTTTAATTTCTATTTTTTGACTTTACACTTTTATTTACACTTGACTCTCTAGATTATGATAAATATTGAAAAATAAATTTTTTGTATTTTTATATTCAATTTTGAGATAAATAAAACTTTTTTTTCATTTAGACTTGAATGTCTAGATTAATCGTGCATATATTTTCAATTAAAAAATATTTACAAAATCTTTTAAAACTTTTTTTTTTACTTATTATTTAAAATATTGAAAGGTCTTCATATTTAACCATGATAATAACCTGTAATCTTTTACATTTAATAATGATGATTATGAAGATGATGATAATGATGATTATGAAGATGATGATGATGCACAATGATGATGATGATAATGATGATAATGATGATAATGATGATGATGATGATGATGATGATGATGATGATGATGATGATGATGATGATGATGATAATGATGATGATGATGATGGTGATGATGATGATTATGATGATGATGATGATGATGATGATGATGATGATGATGATGATGATGATGATGATGATGATGATGATGATGATGATGATGATGATGATGATGATGATGATGATGATGATGATGATGATGATGATGATAGTGAGTTATTGTTTTTAGATATATCAGAGATATGCACAGCACTCAAAAGTTTCTATCTTACAAATTATGGGAAAATAAATGAAGTTCAAGTACCACTAAAATCACCTGCAAATGTTGATTTAATGCATAAATTTGTTGATCTATGTATTGTTGATGCAGTTAATGCTCAAACAGATGCTGTATTAAGTGAACGAAAAGAATTTCTTCAAAAGCAATTGCGTTATACACCAATTCCATATAGTGAAATATTTATGAAAGATAAATCTGTAACAATAATATCTGGAATAGCTGGTATTGGGAAAACATGGTTGCTTAGAAAATGTTTGCTTGATTGGTCAAATGGTCTAATTTGGAAAAATTTTAAACTTGTGTTTTATTTGGAATGCAGAAGACTTAATCAATATCAAAATATTTTTAATATTCATGAATTACTAAATGTTTTCTACAAAGATATTATAAATGATTTTGATATTAGTACTCATTCTACGCTGTTTATAATTGATGGATTAGATGAGTTTAAATATCTAAATGAATTAATAAATTGCAGTTCGAGTTGTAACTATCCAATTGTTAATGTTTTAAAAGAAATTAGAAAATATAAATATGTAGTTGCTGGTAGAGTTTATGCAATTGATCAGTATCAAAGTATATCTACAGAGGATTGTGATAAGATAAACATTCAAATTATGGGATTTAATGAAGATGGAATAAATAATTATATAGAAAATAATGTTTTAGAGGAAAAAAAAGATGTTGTGAAAGCAACTTTGAAGGAATCTGCAATTGCAAAATCAATGTCATCTGTTCCATTTTATTTATCTTTCATGTGTAGGATTATTAGTAATTCAAAAAGTTTATACAAAAATTCTTTTTTAACAATGACAGACTTGTATGCAAATATTTTTTTACACTTTTTGCAAAAACACATTATCAAAAACAATGAATCGATTTTTCAATTTATGAAAAACGATTGCAATAAAGAATATATTTTAAACATTTGCAAAATTGCATATCAATTGTTTGTTGAAAATAAAGTAATTTTCTCCAAAGAAGACATTCAAACTTTCATAAATGACTTTGATAAAAATGAAGAAAATTTTTTTGGATTTATTGAAAGGATTGAAACAAGTCTAGGTGAATATATTTATCAATTAGCACATTTGACAATAATGGAGTTTTGTGCATCTATATATGCATATAATTGTTTAAGTAGTGAAGAGATTATGACTAATGAAAAGCTGAAGAGTTGTTTATCAATGATTTGTGGTTTAACCAATAAAAATCAAAATAGTTCCTTAAAGTTTCTTGTTAACCTAAATCCTTTAAAAAAATCTTGTGAAGATTCTTTATTTTTGTTTTCTATTTTTGGTAAGTCTATAATACTTTATTGCATTATTGTAAATTATTTTATTTATCAAAAGTGCAAGTTTATTAAAATCAAAAGTTTATAAACATTAAGTTTTTTTAAAGCTGTTTTTATCATTCCTTCTTTAAAGGATAGACTCTATTCTTTTGTATTTAGTATGTTTGACAATATTTGGCAAGATTTTAAGAGAAAATCAAAATAAATAATATTTTATAAGAAAATATAACAAATATACATATCAGTTTTGATTACAAGTGAATTCATCTGTGTCAGCCATTACACATTTTATACAGTAAGAGAGATAATTATCTGAAAAAAAATAAAAAAAAACAAACAAGTGAACTTTGACAAGTAATTTCAGAAGAAAAATTAGTTAAAATAAATAAAAGATTAATGATTGTTATAAATTAATCATGTTTTTTTTTTTAAATAAATGCCAGTTTAATCAAGAATTCATAACTTAAAAATTAAAATATTTCACAACTTAAAAATTAAAAGAGTTACATTTATGTACTAAAAACTTACTGATGCATTCAAATTATGCATTTTTTTAGCTTTAAATAAGTGTCCAAACCAAATTTTATTTATTAAACATTTCTTAAGTAATTAAATTTTTTGATTTTTTAATATCGAGTCAGACCATCTTTAGCGTTTAAGACTTCTGCAAGTCGATTTTGCATTGGTTCAACTAATTTCTTTGTTGTATCTGGATTGATTCAAGTCCAAGCTATTAGGAACACGATTATTTTCTCTTTGTTTTGTTTTGAAATTGCCACTTTTTTGATCCAGAATTGTCCATTGGTTTTCAATTGCAATAAAATCTGGACTTTGAGTCAGCTAATTAAGGATAAAAAACACTTTTACTTTCTTTAACGTATGCTTAGTGTTGTTGTCTTGTCTATGCAAATTCAAACATTTTTTTACTTTTTTATCAGATTACTGATGGTTCCTTATGCTGTTTCAGTTGCTTTTTTTCATCAACCTAAATGTTTTACCTTGTCATTTAAAACAGTGATTAAATTTACTTTCAGAACATAACATTTATCAAAATTATTTTTTTATCTTCTGAGAAATTAAAGTTTATCTTCATAATAAAATTTTCTGTTAGGATATTTGTTTCTTTTAAATATTAGGTCAAGTAAAACGGACACTTTTTATGTCTTAGTTTAAAAAATATTGGAACAAGCTACAAAGTTGATTTTTTTTTTAAAATGAATACTTATTAAGTCTAGAACAAAAATACATAAATAGAAAAAAAAATTTCAGTACAATAATTTTTTAAATTTTTCTCTTAATGGGAGTCATAAGATTTTGCATTAAGTAAGATCCATAATTTGTAACCAGTACTTGTTTTTGCTTGCCTAAACTTCTTACATAATTTGGCTTTAATAATCGCATAACATTGCCTAATTGGATGAAGTTCAGGATAATCACTTTTTATGGCACTCTTTCATAAGTTTCACTTTTTCTTGTGCAATTAGTGACAAATCTTTGTGTTTCAATCTACAATACATCTGGCTTGTCAAACCATAGTTTTTTAGGGAAGTTTTTTGAGTTTTAAGAAATAAATATTAAAATTTAGCCTTTGCCTTTTTACTGGAAACTCCTATATAAAAATGATGTCTTGGAATTGTTTTGAAATTTAATTTTACATAAGTTTTATCATACATGATTATACTTTTTTTTTCTAGACAATATTTTATATAATATTCATGCACGACTTTTTGCCACTAAATTTTCTTCAGCATTGTAATCTGGAATTTTTTACATCTTGAAGGACTTTATGCTTTTTCTTGATAGTCCTGACCATTTGTCTGCTAGTTTTGCGTTTTAAAGCCAAATTTCGCTCACAAATGATTCGATTTGCCCATATTTTTGGCAAAACATTTATCTTTGGTTTTTTATTAATGTTCAAATTATTGCACCTTTCACGCTTCTATTTATTGCCATAAGTGTCATATACTGATTTAAAGTTCACAGTGCTTTTAGAACATTCAACAGTTTTTATAATCGATTTGAGAGGCTAGTTAGGAAATTTTAATTGAGCATGCAAAATTGTATCACGCACTTGTTGCTGTTTTGTTGCCATTTTAAATAGTAATATAAAAAAATATAAAAATATTTTCTTAGTATGGAGTATAAAGGAAAGCATGAATGAAGCGTTTTCATATTTCATGAATAAAACATTGCTTTTCATCATAACATGGAACAGTTTTAAGTTAATTAACTTATTATTTCTAATGATTGTTTAATTAAACACATTTAATTTATATAATAAAAGTGTATTATACATATTGTTTTTATTTATGTTATAGAATTTTTTTTATTATAAATTTAAATCTTTGAACATAATTTTCTTCAAAAATTTAATTTAGTTTTATAAACAATGTTGACTTTAAACAACAATTGTGTCTTTAAAAATCAATAAATTTTATGTTTTAGGCAAATGTCTCAGTAACTGACTTTTCATAAATCTTACAGTTTTTTCTACAAATAATGCTTCTTGCTAAAATTCTTTTTTAGGGTAGTTATGCTGATTGCGCTGTCTGCAAACTTAATGAAGCTAGTGATCTTGTTATCATCTCTGTAGCACCTAACATGGTGGGCAATGTCATATGACAAATCATTGATTTGAAATATATAGAGTTGTGTAGTAGAGTGCCAAGCCTTGTGGTACTCCAAATGACTTGCTAGTCAGATTTAAAAAGTGACTTGATTTGACTTGCTTCTAAGCCTAATGGCTACGATCAAGTGAAGTATCTGCTTTTATTTGAGTTCTTACATCATTTTGATTGGTTATGATCTGCTGTAACATGGTATTTAGACTTCATTTCAATTAGTCACATCTAAAGACTGTGAAAAAATGACTTCATTGAGCCTAAACTTTGATTTTATGACATGACTTAACAAAAGAAAATTTGTATTTAGTGAGAAAATACAAAAAAAGTTCAATTTTTTCATTTGTTTTGTCTGATAATAAACAACAATTACATATTAATTAGATAAATACAGTAAAAAATCATTTAAAATAACCTTCAGAAATAAATAGATTTCCTAGATTTGGTAGTTTACTAACCGCTCTGGAGGATTTAGAAACTCAACTTTAGAAAAGGTTAATAAGTTTCACAAAGTAGCCACCAAATTTATTTTTGATAATATACTTGGTACACTGTCCTTAATAATGACATCTAACCCTAGCCCTAACTCTAATATATTTTGCTGAAAAGTCTTTCTTTGATCATTTTCTATGATCTTCTTGATTTATGGTTCAACAAAGTTAAAAAAGGATTGTGTTTTAAATTGTATTTACCTATAATTGTGATTATCACATATACCTTTACTCTTTAAGGGCATCATTTTCTATGATCTTCTTGATTTGTGGTTCAACGAAGTTGCTAGCTCTGTAGTTTAGTCTCATCCTCTGAAAAGGTTTTTGATGAAACCTTAATTGCAGTGGTGGTAGTTTTTTCTTGGGTTTCATCAGCTGCTCCCACTAAACCTTGCTCTGTTTCTCAAAGAACTTAGTCACATAACCAGCTTTTTCTGTGGTAGTGTCCTTGCTGTCCTAGAGACAGAAAATTAAAAAACTAAACGATAAACTTGAAGGGCCAGTAAAGTGATACCAATTTTAAATCTTTGACCTCTGTAGTTGTTATACATCAAGACAATAACTTCTTGAGATTAGTTTTATTCTCCTTGAGAGAACTTAAACCTTAAATTTCTGACCTGTGTATATATATATATATATATATATATATATATATATATATATATATATATATATATATATATATATATATATATATATATATATATATATATATATATATATATATATATATATATATATATATATATATATATATATATATATTCTTAATAAGTAAACTTCTCAATAACTTCTTGAGATTAGTTTTATTCTCCTTGAGATGCACAGAATGAACCATCAGAATGGAAGTTGTTTGCATTGTAAAGCAACATGACTTTGAGTTTCTGGGATAAACTGTTTACCACAGAGTTTATCTTGCTTTTATGATCTTTTTTATGTGTGGTTTGGCTAAGATATTAGCTCTAACCTCACACTGGTTCTGGAAAAGATTTTTAGGAATATGTGTATTGATTTTTAGTATTTGTAGTGTTTTCTGGAGTTTTATCTGCAGCTTCCACATTGCTCTTTTGAGATTAGTTATTATAACTTCTCAATAACTTCTTGAGATTAGTTTTATTCTCCTTGAGATGCACAGAATGAACCATCAGAATGGAAGTTGTTTGCATTGTAAAGCAACATGACTTTGAGTTTCTGGGATAAACTGTTTTCCACAGAGTTTATCTTGCTTTTATGATCTTTTTTATCTGTGGTTTGGCTAAGATATTAGCTCTAACCTCACACAGGTTCTGGAAAAGATTTTTAGGAAAATGTGTATTGATTTTCAGTATTTGCAGTGTTTTCTGGAGTTTTATCTGCAGCTTCCACATTGCTCTTTCCCACAGAGAACTCACTTTGTTGTAACCAGTTCTTACTTTGGTAGTGTGCCTTAGTGTCACTATTGTCCCAGAGGCTAAAGATATTAAAAATTTGTTTGAGAGCCTTGAAGGTGTAATAGAATAATACCAATTTCATATTTTTGATGACCTCTAGTCATTACACATCAAGGTACTTATCAACATCTTGGTACTAGGCTACCAATTTTGTTGGCTTCTTCTATGCACAGAAGGAGCCAACAGAATTGGTAGCCAGCTGTTTTCATTGTGAAGCAACATGGCTTTGAGTCTCCAAAATAAACTGTCTATAAATAGGTGCTATTTACTTGGCATGTGATTCCATTAGCATTAAAAAAATCAACCACAATGTTACAGAAGCAATGGGTTTTCTGACTGAGCAAGTTGTAAAATTTTTGACTTGTTTTCTATGAATTGTGACTTATTTTTGTTTAACAAATTCCTTTGCTTAACCCGTGATATTAATAGTTCAGCTATGACTTTGTAAACTCTTGGTCTCTCATTAAATCATTGTCTTTCTGACTAGGCAATTAGGCTTCTACTGAAAAACCTTACCTGTTAAACTATAACTTGTACCTCCAATATCCCCTCTGCTATTAGACTTGCTCTTTTCTATTGAAAATGGCTGATCCTTTTTAGGGGGAGAAGAACAGGTAGCTCAAGGCTGTGTAGTCCTAGGGTATCAGATGAAGGATTATCTGAATAAACGATTGAGACACATTTTTTTTCAAA